GCGGGTAGCTGCCGGCGCTCCGGCGGTGGGTCGTCGGCCACGCCCCCCACCATAGCGCGTCCTCGCTATACACGATAATCCTAGCTGGCGTTCCGTCCGGGACGCCCTGAGCGCGCCACTAATTCCCCTCGACAGCTCGTGATTAGGATAATGATATATATCCACATTAAGGTACATCGAATACTGATTTCGCTGACACCAGTCGCACAACCTCAAAGAAGCGTCGCTTCGTGCCAAAGCGAACCACCATGTCTTCCTCCGAGGCCGTCATGGTCTCGCCTGAGCAGTGCGCGACTGCGCCCAAGACAGCGCTTTCCAAGGAGCTTGCACCGACCGAGGCGCAGTCGAGTTCGACTCGCTTGGTACTCTTGGCTGTGCTCGCCTTGGCCGCGGCGACGGGTGCCATGTTCGGCGTCGTCGTTTTCGGCAACGAGTTCACCAAGGACGTACATCCTAAGGGCTCGTCGAACATGAACTCGGTGACACTCGTGGACGTGAACGATCGAGCTATCGCCACGGCCGACGTCGAGTCTTACGTGTCGCTCCTCGACCTGCCTCTCCTGGGCACCGCGGAGCTCAACAAGGTCGATGGTATCACCTTCAGTACCTTCAAGGGCATCGAACACCACAAGGTGACGGGCTACTCCTTTACGAGGGAGACCGCCACCGTCGGCGACTCTACCGTCGATACCCCGCGGCTCTCGCTCCGCTCTGCGCCGGGCGTGACCATCGAGATCTCCGTGCGGGATTCCAAGGCGTGGGTGCGCGAGGAGGACGGACACCTCAAAATTGATACGGCCATCGAGACAACGTCCACTCGACGCCTGTCCAGTGGCGGGAGCTGCCTCGCCAATGGCGCGTGCTTGTACTCTCGCGACGAGCTCCTCAGCCTCGATGCCGAGACGCGCCGTCTCTCCGAAGGCAGCTTCTTTGCGCGCGCTGACGTCGCGGCATACCAGGTCGAGCTTGGTGGTGATGTTCTCCCGTACCTGCCCGCTTCGGACGACGTTGTCTCCCTGCTTAGTGGCTACTACATGGCCGATGGTCACCGCATGTCTGTTAAGATTTCGAAGTCGGCCTACAACACAAACTTCCTCCTCGTCAACGGCACCTCCGGGGACAGCAAGCTTATGAGCCGCAATGGCACGTTTGAGTTCGACAAGTACTCGAACATAGTTGGCTGCAACATCCCGCGGAAGAGCACCGATATGTTTCTCTCCTCCATGGACTTGAAGTCGGTGGCAGATGATGCTGAGATCAGCTTCGTCAAGGTCAATATCGCCTACTCGGCGACCGAGGATGACTTCATTCCGCACTCGGGACTCACTGAGTCGACCTGTGTCGACTTTGCCACCCGCAAGTCCAATATGACATCGCCCGAGTACATCTGGGGCCAGGTCGATGTGGATGGCAACACGCGCAAGCTCATTGCTCAACAACATGTCAGCCGCAAGGCGCGGCACGCGCAGAACAGGCGCGAAGCCGCCAATCTCATGTTCGGGGACAACGAGTGGAACCGTGAGCTCAAGCGACGGTACGATGAGGGTCACCGGAGCATGGCGGACGTGTGCCCGAGCTGCGATTACTCGGTTTCGACAGCCCAGACGCAGACCTACCTAACGCACTTCGACCTCTGGCTCGCCACTCGTTTGGCTGATCCTCTCTTCATGCACAGCCTCACCTACGACTCAGTTCCTGATGCCGTAAGTGACCTTTTCGCCGAGCCGAATTCCGGGATCGATTTCCAGTTTGTGATGGAGATGGCCGGTTCCCAGGGTATTTCTCAGACGTTCGCTAACTGGGCTCAATTCTCCTATTTTGGTTACCAAGATGTCCCGCTTGAGATCTTGAATGATGAGCCAAAGATTTACGACGACGACACCATGATGTCCAAGGGGTTTTTCCACGCCCTGCTTGGCGGCACGTGCAACGGAGGATATGACAACGGCAACTGGGCCATGGACAGCATAGAAATGAGTGACGTAGTGTTTGCGTGCAGCAATTACGAAAGTGATTTTCTGGGAGGCCTCGCACCACCAATGCGCCGTCTTGACGAAGAGGAGCCACGGAAAAAACGGAATCTCTATGAAGCTGCGGGTGTGGACAAGTTGGAGGATTTTATTTTTGATATTTGCTCTGAGCTCTCTAATTGCCAAGAGACTGATGACGCCGACGATGACCACTGGGGATGCGCTGACTCGGCGTGGAATGCCTTCTCCAAACTCAAGGTTGGCAACGCATGGGCCTCGTACCTCTACAAAGACACAGTCACGGCGAGCGGTTCCTTGCGCGAGTATGTCGTTGCGTTCCAGGGCACCAAGGCCAACGATCTCACGATGATTGCGTACAACAACAACCAGAAGCCGGTCATGGTTGGATTCAATGCCGACTATAGTATCATCCCACACGGATACTTCCTGTACGCGAAAGAGCTCATGGGGTGCATGTCGAGGATGGTCGACGTTGGCATGTTCTTGATGGTAGATGTCGGCGCGGCGCCTGCATCTGATTCGGCTGTTGCGGGACAAGACAGTGCCGAGCCGACCTTCATCACTGGACACTCGCTCGGTGGTGCGGCTGCGACGCTNTTTGCGAAATCCCGCCGGTATTGGACTGACCCTT